TAGTGGAAAAAGCCAAGGATACTTCGTACTTACAAAACTTGAATCAAGTGCCAGCTGGACTACATATTTGCACTTCACTTTACTAAGATTGCATGGAAATTGAATGTTCTTCATTGAACCATCGATGCCAATAAAGAGCCTTTATTTGTAAGAGTGAATATCTACACACACCAGGCCTAAAACTCCACCAAAACACATTGAAACGCCTCATTAAAATCTACAATGCACGAATATAGCTTTTAGGCCAAATGAAACACGAGAACAAATTGCTCATTAAGTCATGTTTACGTCAAACGTTAAGCATTTGCACATTTAACAAACATCACTCTAAAAAATGCTGGGTTGTTTCCACCTATGTTGTGAGAATGTAAACCAATTGGTTGGGTTTGTCCATATTTGTCCAAACATGGTTGGACACAACCCAGCATTTATTAGAGTGAATAATAAAAAAAAATATCCAAAGTGAAACTTTTTATGATTCAATAGAAGGACAATAGAAGGGAAAACTTAAAATAAACAAACTAAACACTTAAAAATACTGGGTTGTTTTAACTCATAGCATTTGGATCAAATATGGACAAACACAACCCATTTAATTTGTCCATATTTGACCCACAAAGTAGGGTATGTGGGTTGAAACCAGCATTTATTTTGTGAATCTGGAATTTGTGAATTTTTTAGACCTTACGCGCGCGCAGCCATCTTTGAACTTCCGTTATTGTGGTAGCATTTCAATGGCATCGCTGAAGTGGATTTAAGAAACGTTGTAATATTGTAAGCGCATATCATAACATAAGTCAGTAGACCGAGAAGATTTTAAAACGAGCGGTTCGTTCATAAATCGATAAGATCTTAGGAAACACAAACCGGAAGACAGAACACGACGATCGAGGCGCGGGAAAAGGGGCGGGGCTACAGAAACTCATACATAAAGTTCTGTTTTTTGATAGTTGTGGGCGGTTTGCTGTACATCTCATTGATCCCCAATAAAGTCATTTGAGAAATTTAGGTGTGGAGATCAGTTTGTGCTGAAACTGATGTTGGCTAATAAATCAATATTGAATGCATTAACTCCCTGCTGCAGTTATAGGAACAGGTTCATGCTAAAGGTTTGTCACATCAGCTTTATTACCTGCAACACAGTAATTTACGGCTCTTAGTTTCAGGCCACTAATTAAAGCTCATTTCAGAGTGTTGGCCCTCGCGCGTCATCGTAAATTACAGGGTAAGTTCAACTGCTTGATTATATCTTGCATTTTTCACATAGGCTAGTTTTGCGTAATAACATTAAAGGATGGATGGATTCCTTCCGGTCGCCTTTTATCCCCATTGACTCACTTAACTTTTCAATGGCATCTAAAAGATGAGAGAACAACCTGTGCTTGACGTCACGCGCGCAAGCACGCGGTCCTTCCCCGAGAGCAGGGCTTCCCTCGCGCGCCCCGGGTTGCTCGGCAACAGGATTCCGTGTAGAAACAAAACACGGGGGTTCCGTGCGAGTCGCGACGCTCCTTTTGTGTGACCCGGTGAAACGCCACGCTGTCTGACATTGTGAAACAACGCTTATCTCTTCCAGTTTCATAATAGTGTGAAATTACAGTCAGTAAAACTCACGCACGGGATGCTTTATTACCCCGTGGGTTTATCATAGTTAAACCCGTTGACATGTATACATAACACTGCCCTGATTTCATCCCATGCACGGCGGAAATGAAATTATATATAGCCTATATAATAGATTATGCACCTGTTATGAAAACCAAGTGCCATAACACACGTGAATTTAATAATAATCGGCCCCAAAAGTCTAAGAGCATTAGTGCGTTTTTAATTTAATGCAATGTTCTCAATACAAATGATCGAGTTTCTCCTTTGTTTTTATGCCCTGATGATCATGTTATTTGACGCAATGGATGAAGACAATCCATAATAGGTTTCATTTGTTAACATTACACTCTAAAAATGCTAGGTTGTTTTAACCCAACTTTGGGTTAAATATATGGACAAACGTTGGGTTAAAAATGTAATTAAAAAATGTAACCCAATGGCTGGGTTTGTCAATATTTGACCCAAACTTGGGTTAAAAGAACCCAACAATTTTTAGAGTGTACTATAGGCTATTAACTCACACTGTGCAATTCTTTACTGTATTTGTTGATCTTCATTAACATTAGTTTATAAAAAAAATACAATTGTTTGTTGTTTGTTCACAGTGCATTAACTAATGTTAAGAAAATACAACTTTTGATTTTAATAATGCATTAGCAAATGCTGAAATGAATATTTAACTGTAGAAGTGCAGTTTATCATGTTAACAATATTATAAAGTGGAAAAACCTGAAATATTTGTCTTTTATATTTTATACCAAGTTTAATTCAAAAAGAGGTCTCTGACTTTTGGACCCCATTTGATAAATTTAGTAGCCTAAAGGCATATTCACTGTAAAAATGATTTTTCACAGTTAAAAGCAAAGATTATTAAAGTACTTGTAAGTTTCATGTTTAATTCTGCTACTTGGCATGTAATTTTACAAGCGAAAATAGTGTTTTCCTCCAGTGTAGCTCTCTTGTTTGCCAGATCCCAGTGAACGTGCCAAACATCACAGAGGAAAAGGTGCCAGGGAAAGTTCCGGTCAGTGATTTAATCCCCATTGGGGACTGAACCGCTGGTTTTCTGTGGGAACCTGCTTTGGGGAATGCGATCGGTATGAATGACGGCTGTAGAAGTGTGTAAGTGTGCTTTACCTGTTTCTACGCACTTACACCTGCGGAACGAAGACAAAAGATTTAGTCCTGTTCTACTCCCACACAAACCTGATGATCCAGAGGATGCGCTCATGTTACCATAACAAATGCATAATACCAATACATTTTTACCAACAGCAAACACATTCCTATATCAGGATGGTCAAACACAGTAAATAAGATATGCAACATTGTCTATTAAAGCTTATGCCAACTTCAGTTTTATGCAATAAAATTGAATGGTAAGATATTTTAGTTTCATCTCACCAAGACACTCTCGGAAAAAAAGGTCCAAAAGCTGTCACTGGGGCTGTACCTTTTCAAACGGTACACTTTTGTACGTAAAGGATGCATATTGGTACCTTATTAGCACCTAAAATGTACATATTAGGACCTAAAATGAACATATTAGCACCTAAATGTACATAATAGCACCTAAAATGTACATATTAGCACCTAAAATGAACATATTAGCACCTAAATGTACATAATAGCACCTACAATGTACACATTAGCACCTAAAATGCACGTTTTAGCACCTAAATGTACATAATAGCACCTACAATGTACACATAAGGACCTAAAATGAACATTTTAGCACCTAAATTGTACATATTAGCACCTAAAAATGTACATATTAGCACCTAAAATGGAAAAAGTTTACCTTTTGAAAAGGTACAGGCCTGGTGACAACTTTTGTACCTTTTTTCTGAGAGTGTACATCAAAAATACAGTAAAGATTTCTATTTAAAACAACTTTTCTATGTGAATATAGACTCTAAAAAATGCTGGGTTGTTTGAACCCAATTTTGGGTAAAATATGGACAAACCCAACCATTTGGTTACATTTTTAACCCAATGTTTGAGTTTGTCCATGCATATTTGACCCAAAATTGGGTTCAAACAACCCAGCAATTTTTACAGTGCTGTATATAGTGATCAAAGCAATCAATTTGCACATGATCCTTCAGAAATCACTCTGATATGATGATGTGAGACATTTATGATTATCATCAATGTTGAAAACGGTGGTTGTGCTGCTTCATATTTTTTCAGGTTTCTGATGAATAACACGTTTAAAAGAGCAGCGTTTTTTTGAAACCGAATTTTTTTTATAACATTATAAATGTCTTTCCTGTCACTTAAAAGCATCTTTGCTGAATAAAAGTATTAATTATTAAAAAAAAAAGAAACGGTGAAATTTTAACAAGCAATTTTACACGACATTCTCCACTTTTCCAGAATAACCGAAACTTGATTTCGTGACACTATATTCCGCCTCCGCAATAAGGGAACGTTTTGCAGAACAATTAAACTAAGCCCCGTGCCAGGAGAAATTAATGTTAAAATGTGGGCGTAATTATCATCATATATCTGATTATCCTTATATAATCTTTCAAAGCTTGAGCAGCTCGATCTTGTACAACACAACCAATACCAAGAGTAATGGGGAAAAAAACAAAAAACGGAACAATTATTATTGAAATAAAAATAAGGCGGCTTATGCATTAGACATGTTGGTTGAGTCATGAACATGGGCCGAGAGCTACAACAAAGGGAAACGCGTCGAAATAAAAGGGCAAGTTTGGTCATTACTTTCCTCACTCAAACCACTGACTACTTTAAAGGAGTAGTTCACTTTTAAAAAAATGTTTGCTGATAATTTACTCACCCCCATGTCATCCAAGAAGTCCATGTCATTCTTTCTTCAGTCGAAAAGAAATTAAGGTTTTTGATGAAAACAATATAATGGACTTCAATGGGGACCAAACTGTTCAAGGTCCAAATGAGAGTTTCAGTGCAGCTTCAAAGGACTTTAAACGACACCAGACGATGAATAAGGGTCTTATCTAGGAACCTTCGAGTCATGACTTGAAAAAAGATTCATTCATATTGATGAACAAGTTCGAAAAGGAGAGTCACGAACGCGCATCACAGAAGAGAGCAAGGCGAGCATTTGTGCTTCTAAAACTTAAACTTTGTTTTTTTTGTTTTTGTTTTTAAATGAGCGATCGTTTCGCTTGATAAGACCCTTATTCATCGCCTGGTGTCGTTTAAAGCCCTTTGAGCTTCACTGAAACTCTCATTTGGACCTTGAACAGTTTGGTCCCCATTGAAGTCCATTATATGGAGAAAATCCTGGAATGTGAAGACTTTCCACACCCTTGACCTCTGTGACAATATTAAAACAAACTGTGGTTGTCTATCAAATGTGTCAAAGTGGGCAGAACAAATTGGACATTTAAAAAAAAAAACAGGTTTTCTAAACAGGTACTTTATGATGCTTGACGTGTACAGACAGGTGAATAATTTAAATGAGATACAGGACGATTCTGAGAGGAATGCAATTGTCACATTTCAGATACACTGCATGCAGTACCATAGTAAACATGGTAACCTTCACATTCAATCCTTCAAAGGCAAATGAAATGAACTGGACAAATAATCAAATTAGTAATACAAAAGAAAACAACTATTCTTCTACTTTCAAAATGGCACGATGGTTGATTTTAGATTCGAGTCGCGTTGAATAGTTTTAATTCTGCGTAGTAAACTCACATGAGGTACTGTGAACAGATCCCAGAGCAGCCGCTACCGTAACCAATAATACTGAACCATGAGCACATGAATACTACACTAGAAAATAACAAAAATACTGACAAAAGGACATCCCCAAAAACTCACTACTGGATTGGCTCATGTAAAACGGTTCAATTTGCATTTACAGACTATAATATTTCTATTCAGTTGACCTTTTTGGACTTGAACACTGTAATGTGCAACATTCAACGGATAAATAACCACAGTATGGAAACATCGTCCTCTGAAATGTAACGCGTATGAACGCTTCCGCCTCGAGATGTGACGTGAACCCGGCGTTTTCATGAATATGATTCCCGGTAACTGTCAAATGACACGACAGAACTGAACTGAACACACACATCTGCAGTTTGTGAAGTTTCAGACCCTGAACTGATTTCAGTACAGAATCCTCTCAAAGGCTCATATTTCAATACAAAATCAAAAGAATCAATTAGAATTTGAAGGGGAATGTGATTAATTATCATGATTATAATGTAACGATACTAAAAAATAAAATAAAAAGATTCATATGATTCAAATCTTTTGGAGTGTTTCGTAAGATTCATCTATCTGCCTTTTCTGATGTTCAGGGTCTTTGTACTCTGGAAAATTTGGGCAAAATCTAGCCTAAGATCTAGCCAAAACATGGCCTGTATTTCTTTTAAATCAGACAAAAGCACTACTGCAGATGAGTGTGAGAAAGAGAGAAAGAGAGAGAGACACACACATCCTTGACCCATGATGCTCTGGACCAATTCCTCCCGTTCACTGAGTCCGCAGCTGATAGTCTGCAAAGAAAGGAGGAAATGAGCAAAGCTTAATTAAAAGCCCAGAACGGCAGGAAACACAGTGTGACAGCTGAACTTTCTCTCTCCACCCATCAAAACACAATCAAAAACTTAATCAATCTGTAAAATTGAGACTTAAGTTCACAAAATGAACAAATTATGATTAGAAAACTTGCTGGATGCCGATTGGTCGGATTAAGTAAACAGCACACAGAGGAAGGCTAAATCTAGTTTACATGATTATAGAAAGTTATGCAACAATTATGCAATATGAACACACTGCATTTTGTCCTTAAATTGTCATTAGGCTAGTTTCACAACAGGTTTTAAAAGTGTCTCTGGTTTAAAGGGATAATTCACCTAAAAAATAAATAATTTGATGATATTTTGAAGAATGTCGGTAGTTGACGGCACCCATTGACTTCCATGGTAGGGGGGAAAAAAAAAACTATGGGGATCAGAAATGCTTCAAAATATATATATATTTTTTGTGTTCAGCAGAACAAAGATAGTCAAATATTTTTTGGTGAACTATCACTTTAAATTTCAGCGGTACTCTGGCATTACTGTGCGTTCACAGCGCGTCAAATTCGCGCCTACTGCGTCTAGTTACACGCTTGAATCCATTCGCGCGTCAAGAGCGAAATTGACACGTGTAAAAACAAAAGTTTGAAGCGAAATTTTACACTCGTCGGAATCGAAACCCGTTAGCGGCCATCTTTTTTATGTCAATCGAGCATTCATCGAGAGAGTCTGTATTTGCTCTGGCAGCGGCGTGGGGATCATCGTCGCCGTATTTGTGTCCACCGGACCCTTCGGAGGCGAACCCAGTTTGGAGAGTTTCACCATTTGATCCAGAAGCTGCGCCTGGATGACGACTCGGATCCGGATGTCCCGCGTCGGATCACCCTCTAATCTGTCGTTTATTTTTGTTTTGAGGATAAATAGAGCCAGCCTCCAAAAGTTATTAACCTGTCCTGTGATTTTTTTCTCTCTCACGTCTAGACACGACCGCGGCGCGAATTGACGCCAAAGTTCAGATTTTTCAACTCGGTCGGCAGATGCGAATTCGTGTCAATCGCGTGAGTGCACAAATAGCACTAACTAAATCATTCGTGCTTAACGCGAAAGAGGCGTATTCACGTTTACCGTGCAACCGAGGTCCAAACGACAGTTAATCCCAGTTTCAGATGCAGCTTCAAATGTCTTTAAACGACACCAGACGATGAATAAGGGTCTTATCATGCGAAACGATCGGTTATTTCAAAGCTTATTCCAAAAATGTAACTTTTCTAAGGACAAATGCTAGCCTTGCTCTATTCTGTGAGGCGCGTTTGTAACGTCACGTAATTACGTTCAAAAGGTCACGGGCGACGTAGCCGGAAGTACAGAGTCAGAGTGTTTACAAGTTGAACGCATAGGTTGAACGTGAAAACTAACTCAAACGCCGTTTACAAAAAAGGAATTAAAAGGTAAAACAACGATGTCGGACGATTTTGATTCTGTACTTCAGGCTACGTCGCCCGTGACCTTTTGAACGTAATTACGTATTACGTGACGTTGCAAACGCGCCTCACAATATATTACAAGGCTAGCATTTGTCCTTTGAAAAGTTAAATTTTTGGAATAAGCTTTGAAATATCCGATCGTTTCGCATGATAAGACCCTTATTCATCGTCTGGTGTCGTTTAAAAACATTTGAAGCTGCACTGAAACTGTTATTAACTGTCGTTTGGACCGCGGTTGGACCGTTTGGTTCCCATTGAAGTCCATTATATGGAGAAAAATCCTGGAATGTTTTCATCAAAAACCTTAATTTCTTTTCGACTGAAGAAAGAAAGACATGGACATCTTGGATGACATTGGGGTGAGTAAATTATCAGCAAAAGTTTTTTCAAAAGTGAACTACTCCTTTAATCAATCGATTCAATAGTTTGTCATCATGTGCCTTTTTTAAAAATAAATTCGCGTCTAAGGCCGTGTGTCCACCAAAGCGTTTTTATCCAGCTGAAAACGCCAGACGCTCTGCTGAAGACGCCGTGCATTGAGCGTTTTGCCAGCGCAGCGTTTTTTCCGTTGAGACGTTTCGTTGGTATGATACAGAATATCCGCAGCAGTTTGAATGTTGTGACCATAGACCAGTGTTTCCCAACCCTGTTCCTGGCGGCACACCAACACTGCGTGTTTTCTTTGTCTCCCTAATCAAACACACCCGATTCAACCCATCAGCTCATTATTAACCCACCTGATTATGAGCTGATGGGTTGAATCAGGTGTGTTTGATAAGGGAGACAAAGTATACATGCAGTGTTGGTGTGCCGCCAGGAACAGGGTTGGGAAACACTGCCATAGACAGTAAAAGAAATGGACAGAGCGATCTCATTGGAACTCCGTTGAGACGATTGAAGCCCGTTTTTTTAGCACTTCCGTCCCTGACGCGCAGACTCGAACAGAGCTCGACTACGTAGATGTGACGTGAGTGACCCGTCTGTCTTCTAGTGCTGTGGCATGAGAAATCTGAATCATTCCCTTCCGAGTGTGAATAGGAGCCGTCCATGAGCTAGGAGAAGGAGACAATTCTGATAGGTATTCTGATTAATTATTGCCTCCACGTTTCGGCGATTGCGTGCGAGCTTCTTCTCATGTCCATACGGTAATCTCTCTACTGTGCGACAGAGAGTCGCGTGGGTATGCCGCGATCGTTAGCCTACTCTCACTAAAACTGCTTCTACGGGGCCATAACATAAGCTACAAGGTAATGGAGCTATTTATACATTGTGGTGTTTCTTTAGAAATAAATAAAGGACAAATGGGGTCTTCAAACGCCTCAGATGTAAAGTTATTCGCTGTCAAAGTGACGCCAAAATGAATGGGAGTCAATGGGAATGCTAACGCAAGTGAAGATGTCAGCTCCCGCGAGGCTTCAACTTCCGGTCGATGGATTACCCCCTTGAGCGTGACCAGTTTGAATGTTGACAGTTGGTCGGTGTGGTATTAGTCCCGCCTCTCCTCCACTGTGATTGGACGGCTGGGTAAAAAGTGACTGCGTTTTATCCAAAGTTGAACATTTTTCAACTCCCAGCGACCATTAAAAACGCTGGGCGCTTCAGCGTGAAAAAAAAAACGCTCAACGCCTCGGTACACTCATGGCGTTTAAAAAACGCGGCGCTCCCATTGAAAACATACGCCAGGCGCGTGGGAAAAACGCTTTGGTGGACACGCGGCCTAAATGTCAAAAATAAATGCTAGTACACATTTTGATATATAAATGATAATCATTAAACATGCCTTGATTTATTATATTAGAATTCAATTTGTATTACCTACAATGGCCGTTATTATGGTTTCTTCAATCGGATTACATTTAATCATTTAGCAGATATTTATATACAAATCACATTGCAATACTATACCACTCAAAAATATCAAATAATACCTTTGACTAATAAACGATGTGAAACTAACAGAGGCTCAGCTCTTTAAAATGCAAAGTCCAAGATTATGTACTACAGCGTTTCTAATTTTATCTGGGTTTCACCATCTCTCCACGCGTCGGTCCTGTACATCCTCTTTTCGCAGAACAATTTCACCTCCGCATTCAACACTAATCTCCCATCATTCTGTGCCGCATTGCTTAATAGTTGCCAAATACCTGCAATACTGTGAAAAACAAAGACAAAAATAGAGAAAGAGAGAAGAGAGAGCACGAGAGAGTCTCTTACCTCCGTTCTGGGTGATGTATCGAACCCACGGGAGCGCCTGATAGCCGCTCTTCTCAATGATCTTCAGGTAACGCACCTGTCGAAACACAGACCATCACTGTAACTGCATTCAGGCCGATGGAAACACCAATGCATTTAAGGGATGCAAAACAATAATGCTAAAGCCTTTGGTTCGGTGGAAATTATATGTGAAATTTAAGTTGCTTTTCTTGCACACAACAGTGCAAAGTTGGCTAAAAATTGCTATAAAGAGAAAGAAAGTATGCAAGTATGCAATTTGATAAATCCTGCACACTTTTTTCCTTTATCTCATGCACATATCAATTACTTGCACATATGTGACCACAAAACCAGTCATATGGGTACATTCTTTGACATTAAGATTTATAAATATGAACGCAGAATGTATGGTTTGTTAGGATCAGTGTTGGGTAAGTTACTCTAAAAAAGTAATTAATTACTAGTTACTAATTACCTCTTCAACAGTGTAATTAGATTACTGTACTAATTACTCTCTCTAAAAAGTAATTACTAATTACCTTCAAAATCCCATCAATCTCAACCAGCTGAATAATACAACGATAGACATGAATCTGTTTTAATTCTTTCAAATAAACACTATAAAATTGCATGAATTATCCTTAAACTGACCAACATTATAAAAACATACTTTTTAGCATCAGACATTACATTTTGATGTTAAACCCACTATTATTTTAAGTCTGATCTCATGACATTTCACACTTTTTTCATACATATTTTACAATAATTCATACGAATTTGTACGGGTCGTACGATTTAGACACCTCATAAAATGCATACGGATCGCTGTGAGATGGGCTTGATCTATACACAGTATTTACCTCAATTACATCAGAAGTAACTGTAATTAAATTACAGATAAATTAAGAGTAATCCCTTACTTTACATGTTCAAGGGAAAAGTAATTAAATTACAGTAACTAATTACTTAGTAATTAGTTACACCCAACACTGGTTAGGATAGAACGATATTGCTCGCGATCTGAAATCTGAGGATGCAAAAAAATAAAAAAAATGGAGAAAATCACCTTTAAAGTTGTGCATCTATGTTTATGATGCGCTGTATTCACACATAAATAAATCTTTTATATATTTACGGCAGGAAATCAACATGGAACACGATCTTTACTTAATATCCAAATGATTTTGACCCTTACAATGTATTGCACAAATATACCCTTTGCGACCAGGGTCCAAGGTCACATATGCTAGGCTAATTCTTCATTGATAGAAAGAAATATGATGCAACAAAAAAGGGGGTTGTGGGATATCTCGCAAGGGCACAAACATCCCAGTATTGTGGCATCTAAACATAACTTTGCATTAGCTTCAGGTCAGGCACAACGCAGGCACAGCAGAGCCTGGGAAAGTGGCAGAGAGTAATGCCACGGGCGGAAGCGCATGAAGAAGTGAGATTGGGGAAACGGCACCTTTCAGTGCCGAGCGCTATTGAGTCACTCGTTGCATCCTTACGACGGGGCCTTGCATCACTGCTCACAACAGAAGCTTTTGCACAACCCTTCCAAAACATGCTGAAAGAGCACAATCACGTTCGGTAAGAGATGACAGATACCCTGATACTCGGAATTAGAGATGAAGTGTGTTTTCTCACGTTGAAATATGGTTTAGCAAGTTTAATGTGCAGAGACAACTTGTTATGGCGTTCTGGGTGGTTTCTTGCGGTCTCAAGTACCTCTTGGATTTAGAGTCTCACAGGTGTCACTCATCGGTAATCACGCCACTGGCCTCGCGCCGTTCTCCCGCGACCCTCACTCGTCCCGCTCGCCACAGTAAACATGATGAATGGCGACTGAAGAACGCAAAAGCCGAATCCCGGACATTTTGGGCGATTTCGAAACACATTTTCGGGTAGACTCATCACGGAGACTCACTAGTAGCCTAGACTTGTTGTTTAACGACTGCGCTCTTACCGGTAGGCTTTGGCCTCCTAGGGCAGCGAAGCAGAATTATATATATATATATATATAAAATATCTATCTATCTATCTATCTATCTATCTATCTATCTATCTATATATATATATATATATAATATATATATTATATATATATATATATAAATTATATATAAATTATATATATATAAATAAATAATAATAAAAATATATAAATAATAATAAAAATATATATATATATTTATATTTTATTATATTTAAATTTATATAAAAATATATATAAATAAATATAAATACAAATATATAAATAAATATATATATATAAATAAATAATATATATATATATATATAATTAAAAAATATATATATAAATAATAATGAAAAAACTATATAGATATATTTATATTTTATTATATTTATTATATTTACATTTATATAAATATAAATAAATATATATAAATACAAATATATATATCTACACACAAATATATATATATATATATATATATATATACACACTCTGAAATGAAGTCAACAATAAGTTACTATCTGTTTGACAGAACAATGAAGAACAGGGGTGGAAGGGGCGGTAGGAGTGTTTGGGATTTTTTTTTTGGAAGCCGTCTTTATTTTTGCCATGAATTCCATTTGATGTCGCTAGTCACCTTTAAACATCTCTCGAGATCAGGGTGGACATTTAAGACAAATGAAATTACAGTAGTCCTGTCCAAGCGCTCTGCGTTTGTTGATTTTGCAGGGTTTTTAATCTGCCGAGCGTTTGTTCTAATCATGGACTCTATTCTCCCTGAAAACCGTTCAGAAATAGCCCTGCAGACGCAAATTGGACTTACGCAGAATGAGAGATGTATTCTAGGTATCAATGCAGATTTTAAAAAGAGCTTGGTCCAGTTAAAGCATGAGGACAACCCTGCGCGGGCACGTTTCAGGAGGTATTTTTGGGAACACCGTGTCCTGGCGTCCGTGGGCCGGTAATGTGCCACTCTTGGGCGCAGCTCACACAAACCTACCAGGCCACCATCAGCGCAAGCGAACAGCAGCGAGACGGCCAGACTGTAAAGGTCTAAATGCAGAGCCATCCGAGCGACTGTGCGATGCTTGTTTTGAGTAAATGTAGCGATTCGGTCCAGTCGGGTTGAGTTTATGTCATGCTTTTGGTCACCTTTGGCTCGGTCAGCCCTTCATGAACACTGGTGTATATTTGTAGCCGACACCGAGGACGCTGGACGTGTGGGTAGTGCTGAGATTTGCGTGGTCACCGGTCTCTCATTAGCATGAAATAACTGGCCAGTGGAGCGAGCTCAAAGTCGGAGACGGGTAGTCAGACTTGCACGAACACAAACGGCCACAGACACGCTGACTCAGCTCTTTACATGCATCATTCACTCACTATGTAAACAAGAAAACAGAATACACATGAGGGATGTTGCTGAAGGACAGTACTTCAGGGTTGTTAGACTAATAATGAGATGAACAAACTGTTGACAAAGGCATTACCACAGGCTTCACATTAACATGCAACACAGTCACTCCTACTAGACACTTTGGTGGGTTGAATTTTATCCAATACACATAATTTTCTATTGTAGTCTTTAAAAAATAGGCATCTTAAATAATAAACTAAGTGCAATGTAGTGTCAAAAATATCGAATATCCATTTTCCACAGAATAGATGCATGACAACAGCTGCTCTTTCTCTCTCTCATGTCGTAAAAATGCGGTCTTGGCGAGTATTCACATAAACACAGTTAGTTGTTTTTTAAGTGAACATAAACAGTTGAGAAAGAAAACGCACGTTTAACAGTATAATGGGTCCGTAAGTCAGGTCTTAAAGTTGCCAAATTATAAAAGATAATATAAGATATTATAAGATAAAAGATAATATAAGATAATATAAAAAAAAGATAATATAAGATAATATTAAAAATATCTATATGGCAATTTTCCCCATGGTATCGGTCAAAATTGTTGCCAATGAAAATGCCGAATGGTTTGTAAAAAAGTTACACATAGTAATGTGATATTTTTGTTATTTTATGTATTATTCAAATATTATTTCCATTCAATTTTAAATTACATATTTATAGAATGTAATTTACATATATATATATATATATTTGTATTTATATTCAATTCATATTATTTGAATTTAATTTATTATTTTTTTAAACATTTTATTTTACTTATTTATTTTTTGGGGTTTATTTATTTTTTTGAGCTATTGGATTGAGTAGGGAGATCATGTAAGGGATTAATAATGGACAATATTTTATTGTCTACAGTTTATGATGTGTTATTTTGTACTGTCATTGAAAAGCAATAAAAACATTTAGAGTAAATTACATATTTATGTCATTTGAGTGATGATAAAATCAAGTTAAATTATATGACCCGACATAATATTATGAGAGCAAATTTACAGTGCAAAAAAAAACTATAACTAAAACAAACAAAAACACTGTACAAATGAACACTGGTTTTGCTTTAAGAGCCAAATTTTACATTGGAAAAAGTGGCGACCTAACACAGAACCAAAACCATTTAGAAAAAAACCTCCTTAAAATACAACACTAAAATGTATAATATTTATTTTATATTATCTTGCACTAAAATATGCCTATATATATATACATATATAAAGATTATAGTAAAAGATTACAAGTCCAATCCTGAATCTGTGGTTAAAAAATGAAATTCATTTCATTTTCAGCCTTTATAGGCCAGTAGAAATACGACAAGATGAAATGACCTCAGAAAATGTTGCGAGCCAGACTCGAACATGTCATGTTAGGCCAAGGCTCTGATATGCAGGGCTCAAAGCTTTAGGGAGTTAAAGATTGTTTGAGTTTTAGAAATATTTGAGAAAATTACACGTCTACAAAGCCTGTGCCCTCAGAGCCGACGAGCTCCTGACGGTCATTTACTGCAGAATGAGATGCTGCGCGTCCCACCTAATAACAGTGTGCAAACACACAACACTCAGCAACTTTAATTGCAGAAGCCGAGCTCTTCGAGGATCAGAAAACTGCCAGTGTTCACGCTTTCACATGAGGCTCATCAGAACATAAATATAGCCATGCTGGGAAACCTATTCCCGTTTTC